TTGGTGAGTATTGACATGGGACACACTTATCTTCACACTTGATGTGCATTTGCAAGGGTCTGGCCTCTTCCCCAGACCTTTTTGTCACCAGTTTTCTAATCACATTCCTTCCAAATCCCTGACCATCCAGTCAAACTATCAGTTACTACCCGCCCATAGATCCGTACCTCTGGCCATTTTTTCCTTCTATGCACAATAGACAACCAGGTACACTGCTTGAATTCTGTACCCTAGAAGTATTTCTCTTCAGGGCCACCCCTGAGTGATACTATATATGGAATCTCCTATGGGTCACACTTTGTACTTGATGTCCTGAGGCCTGGGAGGTCCTGAGTTTGACAAATAGAATTCAGAGTAAGAGATGCTCAAGAGAAGCCTTGCTGTTTTTCCTCTGGTACTTTGAAATACACATGCTATGAAGAAATTCAGACTGAAAGTCTATGTAGAGAAAGAGTCCCAAAAGTTCCAGATGTTCCAACAATGCAAGCTGAAGACCCGAAAATGTGTGTGAGGCCAGAGTAAATCACCCAGCTCCAGCTGGTCTCGCAGGTCACCACGGCCAGATACACACGTCCAAACAGGAACAGCAGAAATTCCCTGTCGTCCCCACAGAAAGTGGTTGTTACTTTAAGTCACTGAGTTTGAGGGTGGCTTGATGCAATAATCTATACGTTTAGAAGATACTATTCACATTTAAACCATCATAAATTATTCTTGATACCCAATTTGGGGTTTTACTTAAGAAAATCATCTTCCTTTACATCTTCCTTTCAGAAACAATATTATTTCTGTTGATGTGGGCCGCACCATCTTCCACAGGCAATTGCAGTGGGACTTCCAATTGTCATATTGGTATTATGGATTACTGCAACTTGAATTTGTTTGATTTGATTTAACATGAGTAAACAGTGGGGAGAAGTTTACCAAGAGCTATTAAGGGTTTTGGGGCAGGGGGATAAGGTATGAGGAGAGGATTACCAAAGAAATAGATTTCCAAGATAGAAGGATTATTCACAGTTGTTTGACTAAATTTGTGCTAACATGAAAAGTAGATAAGGTTTGTAAATCAGTGGAATTACTACAGGAATGAGGAGGAATCTGTAATGATAATATGATAATATTTATTGAGAG